GGGGGAGGAGAAGCGTGGAATATAGTCTTGACTTCCCCTATCAACCTGGCAGTAAAAACTCCAGTTCTTGTTTTCCGGGAAGGCCGCAGTCCTTTCAGCTAGGCCAGTTCCTGCTGAGTCTTGTGGTCCAGCGATGCAGCTGGGAACCATGTTGTACAGGAGCAGCCTGTGGGTGAGGGATGGGAGAAGCGGTGGCAGCAGGCAGGAAAGCAGGGGAATGGTGGCAGCAGGCAAGGGGGTGAGGGCCAGTGAGTGGTTGGACAGGCATGAGTGCAGTGACAGCTGGGCGGGAGTATGGGGCCTGCACCAGTGCCCCAGGGCCAGTGGGGGCCCAGAGCAGGGCAGCAACCAACCCCCATGTCCCCCACCCCCCACAATATACAAGAGTAAGACTTCATTTTAAGCTATTGTGCAATCTCCTCTGTACACTACACAAATGGATGTACATCCAGACAAAACATTTTTTGAAATCAAATTAATGAATGTTATAATAGATGTTTGATTTTTAGAATATAATTTGGTAGTTTTCTGGTTCCGAGATGGCAAACGCGCCTTGCCGAAAGGAGTACTTATGGGGGCAAGGTGAGGGACTTCTGGTGGCAAAGGTCAGGGGTTAGGGGGTGGGACTTCTGGTCCCAAGATGGTGACCGGGGGCGGGGCACCTGTCAAGGGGCAGAGCAACCTATGTGGCCCTCGACAGCTTGCCAGAACTCTGTAAGTGGCCTTCCAACTGAAATAATTGCCTGTCCCTGCTCTATATTCTGGTGCTCGATCTTTAATAAGGCAGATATTTTAAAGAAATACTTACATTTAGTGTGTTGACATTTTTAGAGTTTTCTAATCATTCTTTGGGAAATATTTCTGTTCGAGCACATACTCTGCAGCCCTGATGGTGCAGACACATGTAACTTAAGTAAGGGAGTTGAGCAAATTTAATCAACTTATTAGTTCCAGTGAACTCAAGTGCATAGTGTTTGCAGAGTCAGGGTCTATATTTTCATGGAATAGGCTGACAGATTCATCAATAATTGCTTGGAGCATCTTCCTTAACTTTTGATTAAAAATTAAATATGTTGCATAATTACTTGAAAACCAGTGTTTTTTGTCTTTCTGTTTAAGACTTCAAAATTGGCAGAAATGGCAGAAATTTACAACCAAAAATAAAGTATTTGATTCTTCTTTAGTTGTATTTTTCTCTTTCTTTTACCTTTTAATTAGAATTTTTTTGTTGTCATGTTGGGGTGGGGAGGGAGGGAAATGCCACCATATATATCTCATACCTGTGAGATTATTTTGCCATCAAATTCATATGTGTGTATTTTGAAGGGGAAAGAGAGACTGTGCGTCTCTCTGAACAAATAGCTCCAGATGTAGGTGTTTGGGATGATTCCGTTGTCTTCCCGTGTCTTGCAGGATGCTAAAATCTACATTTCTACATATTTCCTGGAGGTGAAGGGTTGAAAAATGCCACTGAACAGGGTGGCCCCCATGAAGACAAGATTGTAGCTAAGAGGGAGGTGAAGACCTGGAGCTAATGGAATGTTCTCTTTGTTGCATACAGATGAGCAGATAATCTACCAATGAGAATTCTTTAGGCATACGTCTGCCCTCAAAACACTGAATTGCTTTAGCCCCTAGAATTTATAGCATCTGAAATAACACACTTACTACCATTCTTCCCTTGCTACCTTCTGTCACTAACCCACTACTTTAAATGGCCTCATTGACATTGTCCCATGCACTCAGGATAATTCAATACATTTGTTAATAACCATATTTTGTTACAAACTAACTTCAGCTATTCATTAGCTATTTGTTAATGAGTTTTACATTTTGGTAGTTAATAGCAAGTTCTCTATAGGAACATAGAAAAGTTACAGTCTTTTTAAGGGGATCATTTCATAGACGTTAGGGCTGGAAGGGACCTCGAAGATCAAGTCCAGCCCCCTGCCCCAGGGGCAGGAAGTCACCTAGAGCAAAGGATCCCAGCAAGATAAGCATCCAAACATTTCGTGAATGAGTCCAGAGTAGGTGCCTGCACCACTTCTGGAGGGAGTTTATTCCGGGGGGCTTGGACAGTAAAGAAATTTTTCCTTATGTCCAGCCTAAAATGGGCTTGGAGGAGTTTATGACCAATAGTCCTTGTTATCCCTTCGGGTGCTCTGGTGAACAGATGTTCCCTCAGATCCTGATGTACACCCCTTAGGTACTCATAGGCATCCACCAGGTCCCCCCTGAGCCTGCACTTCTCCAGGGTGAAGAGTCCTATGCTTCTCAGCCTCTCTTCATGAGGCCTCTGATCATGCACATGGCTCTCCTCTGGACTCTCTCAAGCTTCTCGACATCCTTCTTGAATTATGGACCCAAAATTGGACGTAGTACTTCAGCTCACCAAGGTGGGAGGATGACATCCTGAGATTTACTTGAGAAGCATCTATCAATGCAAACCAGAGTTTTGTTTGCTTTACCAGCTGCGACATCACATAGGTGGCTCATTCATCTTATGGTCAATCATGACCCCCAAGTGTCTTTCAGCCGCGGTGCGAGCAAGCGTAGCGCTGCCGAGCCTGTAAGAGTGCTGCGGGTTTTTTTCCCCCAAGGTGGAGTACCTTGCATTTATTGGTATTGAACATCATCAGGTTTGTATTCGCCCACTTAATAAGTTTATCCAAGTCAGCCTGGATCAAACTCATCAGATTTGCTTGTGCAATTGAGGAACTAACTCTTTAGTCAGAAAGCACGCTACTGCAAACATGCTCATTAGGGGTGCACCAATAAAGATTTTCTTGACCAATACCGATAGTTGATTATTAACCAGCCATATTGGCTGATACCAGTCCAATAGCCAGTTGACAGGGATACAGCTGGGCAGCTTGGAAAGCAGCATCCTGCCGGTAAGTCTGAGCGGGACGGGGTGTGAAGGAAGGCAGAGAGATGGGGAGGGCAGATGGAGGCCCCCATGGTGAGGGAGGGAGTGAGGCAGGGGCAGGCACTACCCAGCCAGGGCAATGAATAGGACCCCCAGGCCAGGAGAGGGATGAAGCTGCAGGTGGCTTGTCCAAGAGTTGCGGGGGGGGGGGCAGCTCTCTGCCACTGTGCATATTCCTGGGAAAGGCACGGGGGTCAAGTTCTCACCAGATTCGTGCACAGGGCAAGGGCAGGCTACCTGCTGCAGGCTTGGGCCAGGGGTTGCACCAGACTTCCTGGCGGGGGCAGGGAGGGCACTGGGCTGGGGCTTTGCTTGGAGCAGGTGGGGTGGGGATGGGGCAAACAGTGACAGCAGTGCTGAGAGGGATGACTAGAGCCCCCCAAGTTGGCCCCAGCACTGCACCTGCTCAGGGCACCAGGGCTCCTGAGGGAAAGGCAGCAGGGCAGAGTGCCTTGAGCAGGGGTGGCATTAGGTGGGGTTGGGGGTCTATAGCCACCGCAAAATTTCCTGTAGCAACCCCTCCCAGTGCC